CGACTCTTTGTGGGACGCTGCTGTGTGCAATTGACTGATGAGTTTCTCTCATAAGATATACAGTCAATTCACTTTACAGTATATTCTGTGGAGTGCTTTGAGACAACAACAACAAAATTACATTCGTAAAGCGCCTTTCACGTCGGGAGGATGCCCCAAGGCATCTCAAAGACGTGATAAAGCGCTATAGCAAATGCAAGGATTATTATTAATAATAATAAACTAAACAGGTACTTGCCTGCACATATTGAAACCGCAACAGAAATATCTAGGATGTTATCATCTTTTTGATACCAGAGGGAAGCAAGGATTTGAAAGACCCTTACATCAAATTTGAGGTTCATAATTACTTGATACCACTTATCTAATCAACAAATGACTCAAAGGGCTTCACAGAATTTTTTATAAAGTGTTTTAGGCCAAGGCAAGAGCCAATTTGCACACATTAATGTCCTACAGTCAGCCGTGAAATAAATGACCATTTTTTTTACCCAAGAGGTTGTTGGCCAGGACTGAGAGAGAAACTCCCTTTTCTTTGTGTATTTGCAGGCCAGGGCCACAGTCAATTCGCACCCATTAATGTTTCACAAACAGCCATGAAGTGAATGACCATTTTTTTTTGCCGAGAGAGATTGATGGCCCACCCACCCGCCCACACACACAGACACAGACACACACTCTTCTCTCCATTCTTAATCACCATTTAGGCAGTTTTTACAGAATTTTGGGCACATTTTACAGAATATTATTTGATAATTAAATACATTGTATAATTATTACTTATTACAAGCTTGCTTTCATATTATTTTAATCATTCTCAGAATTGCAACAAATACATGAAACATTGCTCCATCTGTGGAAATCTGTTGTTAATGCTTCTGGCAGTAGGATGAAAATTCTTCTCTGAGTTTAGTCCCCAACACTGACAATTCCTTAAAAATGCCCTCCTCTGTATGAGGGCGCTGTATGAGAGATAGTGCAATAATATTTCAGGCCAGATTGCATTTGCTTAACAAAATTTATAGCATAAGCATCAGGGTTCTGAATTAAATTATTTCATAATTGACAAGCAGTTTGATTGCTATCGATTAGCAGAGCTTCCAATTAAATGGTCTGAGAGGATCTGAAGGTGTAATTGCTGAAACGTTGTGAAGTTGACAAAACGAAGTGAAACGAGAAGACATGTGAATGGGGAACGTGTTGATCTCAGGAAGGAGTTAGAACTGTATATCAATGTGATCCAACCAAGTCATAACGGGAAGAATTGTCCCAATAACTGAACAGTGGAGTCCTGTAGCTCAGTGGTTAGAGCACTCGCCTCGTGAGCGAGAGGACTTGGGTTTGATTCCCGGGCAGGTCAAAATGTTGGGAAAGTTTCCTTACCCCACACACACGCCTCTGTTTACCAGCAGTCAGTAGGAACCCAGTTGTTAGTCGATTGACGGATCAGTTTTCTGGGACAAAAAGAAACCTGCTCCAAGTTTATATTCAAAAATAATAAAACACATAATGTTCTGTGAAACAGATGATATAATGATAATGATAAACCTTGCATTTGAGATAGCATCTTATCACGCTGTGAAAAGTGCAATTCCTGGAAATAATGCTCGTCATTATCAAATTGATAGGAGCCTCCAGGGTAAATGCAACACTGTGATGAATTTCTCTGCAATTAGTTAATCAATGTGCAAAGTGCCACCTTTCAGGGTCTCTCTTACTCCTTTGTTCTCTTCCAATGTCAATTGCTAATGGGAGTGTCGAAAGATCTGCAGTCCCCAGGTGAAGATCTTGGTCATCACCATCTCAAAATCTGTTTATGACTTCTAAACGTTTAACATGATACACACACACCCCCCCCCCGGCCTCTCTGAAAAATAAAAATGCCCAACAAAATCATTAATGGGCCAGCAATGCAATTTTTTTCACACGGAGGGGTGTGAAGATGTGGATTGCCCTGCTACAGAAAGCTGTAGAGGTGGAATTAATAGGGAAGTTTAAAGGATGGATTATACTTAGAGCTATTATACAGTCAATTCACTTTACAGTGTATCCTGTGAAGCGCTTTGAGACGTCTCAAAGACACGACTTACATCACGGCGCTCCATCAAATGCCACGATTATTATAATTATTGGAATGAATTATTGCAAGCATTGGAATTAATAACCCTGCCAAGATATAATAAACAGTGAAAAGGTTCAATGGGCTGAATGACCTCCCTCTGGTTTTCCTGCTTCAGTAAACAAAGTAACTTCTGCAGCTAATTTCTTAATGTTCTGTGTAAAATCTACATTGCTCATCAATCGTGCAGGTTCAAACACCAATTCTATCAGTGACAGTGTCTTCCAATCCGGTTGCCCGGCACATCATTTCAATCACAAATTTATCATTTATGATTTCCTGAAGCTGATTTGTAACGGTGTACGTAATGTAACTTAGAAAATCCTTTGGGCTCATACCTCAACAATTTGGCCCATGTTATATTGTGTACTCTGTAGAACC